CACACACCAGCAGATATGGCCCTTATTTTCTATTAAAAAAATCCTTGCCATTTCAGATTTTGTCTGAATTATAAACATACCACAGATACACCTTTTAGTGTATGTGAGTATATGGATTTTAATAGGCCTTCTGGAATTATACATACCTACTGCCAGAATATAGTATTTTGCATCTACTAAAACTTTTTTTAAAATGCTGATTCATATACCAATCAGAAATATACACACAAGCCATGTTCCTGACAGTCCTGTTTCTATAGAAGTTCCCAGTAGAGGGTTCTGGACAAGCTCTTCATTACTAATTCTTTTCTGAGTATTAGTCTGTATGTTTGTTTGTTTGTCAGACTGAGTGCCCTGATGGCAGAGCCCATGTCTTACCATCCCTGTATCTTTGCACACTAACAACCTAGTAAAGTACTTGGCACTGCTAAGAGCTAAAATAATGTGCATTTAAATAAAAAAACAAGCAGAGCAATAAAACTATTAGCACATCGATTGATTACAGCTTATTGTGAAAAATAATTATGTTTGTAAATAACTTCATCGGTTACAACTGCCATTACTTTAAAAAACTGGGTTAACTTGCTTCCAGGCCTTTCCTTTTAAAAAACCTGTGCAGTAATAGTGGGAAGAACTTAACCGCTGGCAGTGTAGAGTCCTAGAGAGTAGCTGCAGCTCTGCCTCCATAATCTGTGTCTTTAAATAAGAAACCTTCAACAAACATAAAAATACAGGCTTTAGTTTTTAAAACTACACTGGGACACACTTTTTAGGAAATTTTTCACCTGCCACATTTTCAGTATATTTCAGTTAAAATATAAGAGACAGAACTATTGTGATATGCACAAAGCTTACCTGACAATAAAGATGTAGTATTTGGAAACTAGGTGCATTATACCAATATACCCCTCTGAATGTCGTAACTTGAACACCTTAATACTGCAGCCCACGTGAATCTTACCAGATACCTTTTCTGTTTTAAAATGGTCTAAATGTATAATTCTAGGAAACCTTTAGTTAGTGAGCATCATAAGTATAGATTAAAACTGGGAGAATAATTAGTTGACCTATACTCTTTAAAAAGTCAAAAAGGCATTTTTGGCTGATTCATGTAATGCCTGATATTCACAAGTTTAGAAATCACAATCAACTGCTCTTACAGATATTTCCTCCTTTTCTGAATCCATAAAATGCCTTCAATGACCATTCAATTTCCTGAGCACCCTCTTCCTCTAAACTAGGAAAGGGGTAAAATGAACTGTGAAAGACACAATTTACATTTTTGTGCTATAAAAGCTGTTGACCAACTGTAATGATAAAAATCCAGGTAATCAATGATTCTCAGGATTTTTACTCTTTAACAGTATACTGCTATACTTTAATGTTTCTGTCTGCATTTATTTGGAAGAAAATTTCAACCTAAGAGAACATGTTCAGGCACAAAAGTAAATTTGCTTAGAAGCTAACCTGCCAAAACCCAAATTCTGACCTTCTGAAAGACACTATTGAGGGGGGAAAATTGCTATAATTAGTAAAAAGGAACAGCATAACTGTACAGTGCTCAGCATCAAGAAAATAGGATATATTTTTAACATTAAATGTTCACTTTAAAAATGATATTTTAACAATACTTCAGTTATGCCTCAAATATGCTTACATATGACATTATCGTGATAGTTGTATATATTCAATCATGTTTGATGTAAAAACTGCAAATTAGCTAGATTTGCCAAATCCTTTCTAGAAAAACTTTCATAGTTTCTGAAACACTATATTAAAAGATGACTAAAATTTCACGTTAAGAAAAAGTGTCTTTTGTGGAGAATCTAAATTTAAACCTTCCATTTTAAAGTCCTAAACATTTTCAACAGAGGAAAACTGTACGTGTACATGTTAAGAGCTTCTAAAGCAATCAGCACAGGCAATGTTAAATTATCATGCTTCTCTAGACAGAGGCGCACTGTAAAGAAGACCCTCACATTTGTGGCCCTGTGTATTCCCTGTGGGCTGTGCCAACCCACTCTCTCTCCTGTAATGACTCTTTGTTTTTACTAAGTCCCAAAGAGAGCTAGGCAAAGAGAAGGGGGGAAGGGTGGATGGAATGCAGCTGCAGGCTCTGAAACAATGCTGAGTCCATATATTTTGTTCCCAGTTAGAATAATAAGAAGTGGACATCAGTGGGGATGGAGGGGTCAAGGAGACAGAGCCCAGAATAGGCAAGGTAGGGCCATGTATCCCACAGTCGTCAGCCTGCAGCTCCCATTTACCCATCCCTCCACTTTATACTCTATGAAATCCAATAAATTTCAAACACCCATTAAGATTTAAACCTATCATCATTTATATCCAAATTATTTTTATCAGTGAACTATACTCAGGTGAAAACGGAGTAGGAAGAGAGAATGGAGCCTGCAAAAATAAACAGGGGAAGGTGAGACACAGGAGACAGAAGAGCTTGGGGTAAGTAGGTAGGAGAGTTCAGAAAAGAATGTCCAAGGTTTCAACTATAAACTGCCTGTTTGCAATGGTGCCTACAGCCTGGGGGCAACTGATATACCAGAGAAAACCATATTCCTTAAGACTGATAGAAACTGCAAGTGTCTGCATGAATCAAGAGTTTGAAAGCATGCACATGTTGGTTCCTCATTATTCAGTCTAACCTGGTGTTCCCTAAGAAAATGTTCTTCACTTGCATTGCCCTGGCCTTCATGTTCCAACTGGGAGAAAGAATTAAGGGAAGAAGCAGACCCCAAAGTGACAGCTGGTAGTGAGGGAAAAGCAGCTCAAGACCTCTCCTAGGTCTTGCCCTCTCCTCCCTGATAATTGTGGAGGCAAAAAGGGCCACATACTCAACCTGACAAGCTCAGGAGAGGCCTGCATGGTGGGCCTTATGAACTCTGAGACCTAAAGTAACCACATAGGATGGTCTGAAATAAAAAACTTTCCATCTAAAAGCAAGTCATGGAGAGTAGTCATGTCCTAGGCCGGTATCTTGGAAAAGGTCAATCTCTACCTTAACTGAGCCTGTCTATTGTCTTTTTGCATCTAGGATAAGGTACCTTTGGATATCAGGGTTAATTTCCTTTTTCAAGACCCCTCAGGGCACAATCTCTCACCAGAGCAGGAGATCACAGGCCACTCATTGTTATTGTTATCATGTTAATTATTAACTGTTAACACTCTTATACCCACCTATGTAAAAAAAAGTATGTTTATTCCTTTTACTTTTTATCCAGTCCCAGAGATTTCCTTCTTTGCTTTCTTCCGCCTCCCTAACCTATCACCAATAGATTTCATGTAATCCCCCTACACTACCCTTTAATTCTGATGTATACAATAAGTGGTAAAACTAGGCACTTTCTCTCACCCAGGAGCATGTCCATGTCTTCTCTGTCAGGCATGCATCTCCAAAACTCTAAGAGTCCCCAGGAAATAAGCAACCAGTGGAACAATGGGCAGTGGCAGCTCATCCAGGGCTAACCCCCTGGATCTGTCTTTTCTCTGACTTCCCAGTGAACCGAAGTAGCCCTCCTAGGCTCTCCACAGTTGCTTCTTCTATCCTAAACCCTTCCTTGTTTCACTGTCTTTAGCTTTAATAAACATACACGCAAAACTAAAAATATTAAAAAACTGCCATCTTCTAAAGCATTTTCTCAACCCACTGAGATTTTGCTTCTCAGCAATTGTCGTCAATTTGGCTCACATAAATTTATAAAAATTCTTTTAGGTTGGGCATTTCTTAGGTCGACATAACCCTTTACTGAATCTATGGAGCCCTCCAAGGTGCATGGACTCAGGCCTGCCTCTGGAACATCCCTTCAGATGTTATTTACACCATTAAAAATTTCTAGAAAACTCAAAAAGCCTTAAGTAAACAACCAAAAAGAGCACCTCAAAAATAAAATAGAATCAGCACATGCTAAAGACTACCTAAAAAGCTATAAAACAAAATTCAGGAGAACCTTGTTCCAATTAGGATCTCATTCATGAACACTCAGTAACTGAGGGAGAAAAAAGAAGGACGTCCTTGTAAAGATATCATGTAGAAAAGCATTGACATTCACACGCAAACATCTCTTTCAAGTTAGCATTGCCCAAGATTTAAAAGTACTTTGAGTTGGTGCTGAATAATATAATTAATCTCTTGACTCTTGAAATGTTTTCAAGTTATAAAGTTTAGAAAGACTGACTTACATTGAATTTTTGCATTTTGTAACATAATAAAAAGTCACAAGTATGTAGATTTATAGTAATCAGAAATATAACCCCTTCCCTTTAACTTGCTTTTTCTCTACAGGACTAAAATCATTTATAGATATTCCAAATGTCCATATTGCAGCCAGTATATAAAGACAAATTCAGAAATGCATATTAATTTAGGTGAAGGAATGACTGAGCCTATTTATTATTAAATATTAATAGTAATAATTAAATAATACTGACTCTACTGTAAAGTTTATCATCTATTATAAATACAAAATTCATAGGTGCATTTTATTAGGAGTTATCATTTATTATGTTTTTAAATGCAGCAATAAAATAGAATCCTTTGTTTATTCTGTATACAGGAAAAATTCAATTTTCTATTTATACATTTCATTTCCTAATATGTACAATCAAAGAAATAGAATAGTTGTTCATAAAAACAATCATATAATCAGAACTTGCCTGAAATTAATAATTCCTTATGACTTAATTGTGGTAAACAAAACATTCTCATAATACTTTGATGTATGTTATACTTCAATAAAATGGTTTAAAAAATGCAGTTACACATGATTTGGAAAAAAGTACTGTCAATAAGAATATCTGAATTATTTTTTAAATAAATCAAGAAAAGAAGATAATGCAAGTGTCTTAAAGGTGTCAGAAATTTACATTTAGTCACAAAGTTCACAAAATATGAGTGAATTACATTAACAGGCACAGGTGAAAACAATTATAAGAGTTAAGTATAGTACGTGAGAATAGATTTTCTTGCTAAATCAATGTGTACTCACCCCTTGGAGCCCTTGGAACTGAATTGAAGGTCGAAAAGGAATTACATTCTGTTAAAAGAAACATAAGAAATAAACAGGTCAAACTTGATTACTGTGACACAGAATTAAATTTTTAAACTTTAAATCATGCATTTGCTCAGTGCTATAGTTTGTGAAAATACCTTTCCATTATATACTTAGGTTTACATGTCATTTTATTAAGATGCCTTGATGAACAGTAGCACTGTTGACATTTCTCTGAATAACACATGTATCTTTTGGCAGTACAGCTGATCATGTTTTTGAAAATGACCAAATGATTTGGCAAAAATATGATTAGTATACTAATCCAATTTTACATGGGAAAAAAACATACTCTTGCTTAGTTTCTTCATGTTTTTAACAGGGGTGGAGACAGTAAAGTGATAACTGGAAGAACTTTGCAAAACCCTAATAGGATACTAGAAATATAAAATTAAAGTATTTGAGATTGAACTACGGTTTCTATTTTCTCACATTTTACCAGAGATTAGTTCTTAGTTAAGGGTCAAACAGGTTACCAATTTTCTCACAAGAATCTCACTAGGAGAATATTATAATTTCTAGAACAATATTTTGTTTTATTATGATAGTTTTAATATTTTAAGAAAGCTGTAATTGTAAAATCTTCCATAGTCTCAGACATAATTTCCCGTATCTTAAGTCACCAGTATGTTTTCCTACGGGAATGCTTTTCCAAATTGTTAACAGAATTCACAAAGAAATCAGACATGGGTAACATTTAATAATAACACATCAGCCTGTAAACTATTCTTCATACTCGTATATCCAAAGCCAATGCACAAAAACAGGAACAGTTGTTTCTGGTCTCAACTTGATCTCCAGTAAAAATACAGAGACAGGCATCCAAGTGCCCCTCCCTTCAGCCACTGCACATTACCTACTACTCTGTTACTTTCCAAAACTTCTCTGCAGATTTAAAAAATTTTTAATAAGGATTACAATTAACTGAAGAGAAAAAAGGAAAGGATGAGTATAGGTCATCTGAATATAAAAGCACATGGTAACATTAACAGTTGTATTATTATTTATATAAATGGATAAACATCTTGGAAAAAACATTAATAGATACTGTTATCATTATTTTACCACCGTAAAATGATCATTTAACTCTGAACTTATCAGCAGACTCTAAGTACCGCTTGTAACAAATTCATTTCTCGGTGTGTGAGAAGTGGGTTTTTTAAAAAAAGGAAAATAAAAGCTAATTATTAAAATTTTAAAATAATTTTTAGTAGTGATTCATTGTAATTCATGGTCTTTTATGAAAATATAACATATAGATTAATGCTAGGATTTCCTTAGAGACAGAAAACGATACCCAAACCTACCTTCCATAGCTAAACTTCTTCCTGAACTAATGGCATTGTGTCTGCTAAAGCCCAGGGGAGCCCCTCTTCCTGTAGAAGTTAGGTCACCCTACATTTTAATCATTAGAGAATGATTAAATACTAGGCTAAGTACTACCAGGAGGTATAGTAAGAACTCTCAAAAAAGGAGAGAAGAATATGGGTTAGAAGAGATACTAGGAAAGCCAAAGGTCTTGTGAAAAGGTGGATCTTGGGTAGCAATTTAGAAAAGACAAAATCCAGGGAGAAGTGCCCTGCCTGGACAGAAAAGCAAGGAGACAGGAATGGGTACAATGTGGGCAGAGGGCAATTGTCTATGTGTGTACAGAGTTCTTTCATACTTGAAACACTACACAAAGGATAAGAATTGGACCTGGAAATCCCTGTCTAATCTTTCCTTGGGCTCAAAATGTGTCTTCAGTTTTAGCTTCTATCCACTACAGAGTAAATAGGATGAACAGTAATTTCAATTTCAGACCTCTGGGATTTCAAAAGGCTCATCACCCTGTGAAATAACCCTACCCTAATCCCCACCATTACCCCCTCAGGCAGGGCCTTTGACCTGATAAGCAATTGGGTGCTCTTCTAATTTTTGGAACAAGTTGCTGAAAGAAGTGTTTCAGGGTAAGTAGCTTTCAGTCATGTGTAAGAAAGATGGAGATGGACAGATCAGAGATCAGCTCCAGGGGATACTTTCTTTAGAAATACTCGGGTGATAAGGGCCTAAATTAGTATGACTTCATCTGTAGCAAACACGAGTTTGTGGAATGGACTGACATTCCCAAGAAAGAATGATAAAACGGGATGAAAGTCTGAATACCAGGCACCAAAGAAAAATGAGGCAAAGGTGGCTGCAGGGCTCCCCCATCTTCATCTATGGCCCAGTCAGCCCCAAACCTCAGACTAAGCTCTTAGTCTCTACTTTGACAATCTCTGCCTATTTCAGGCCCCTATCACCAACCACTAGATAAAGGCCTTCCTTCCTTCCTTCCTTCAACTCCTTCCAAATCCTGGCTCATCATTCAAATAGCTGGCAGAAGCTCTCTCAGACAACCCTCAGCATGTTACACAGCCTGCAGTGGGTTCCATCAAAGAAAGCAAACTCTTCCACATAGAAAACAGACCTGCCATGTACAGAACCAACCAATTTCATCTTCTACTTCCTCCAAACTGTGGCTTAGCCATGTTAACCTTTTTGTCTGTTTGCTCTGTGAATGTTTTCTTCTCTATTATTCTACCTCCTTCCTGTTTCTTCCACCTGGCATACCTTCCCAAACACATTTTGCCAATCCATGCTACACTCACTTAACATTTCAAGTTTAAGATTAATTTAGTCAGCTAGACTTTCCTCTGGATATATCAGGAATGAAAAACTCAATGTTTAATAACACATGGCAGGTAAATGTGAGAGCAACAAGGAATAGTGAACACCTTAAGAATAAATGCCCAACCTAGAAAGGATTCAAATTTTTAAAAGTTAAATCTTTCTCAGCCAAACAAAACACTGCTGCCACCACTTCGCTAATTCTGTCCTATGCCCACTTTGAGTTAACTCCTATTAGCTATTTTTCCAGAAGCCTGTGTCTACAATTCTAATATACTGGGGGTGTATTTTTTCACAGGCTGTTTTACTCCTAGCTGTTTTGATAAAGAGAAGCCTAGCACATATTTAACTTACAAGTATCTATCTACATTATGCTCAGCTAAAATATATATACATATATAAAATTTTGTGGCTATGTTCTCTTTATATACATGGTACACACTATACATATTATATCCTTACAGATTACTATTCAGGGTTGTACAGATAAAACCGTACAACTATACTTTATATCAATTTAGGAACTATTAAGAATAATTTTTACTTTATCCACGTTTTGCCTTATCACTGAATTTAGAACCTAACCTCCTGATTTGCTTATTGTCTTATTTGTACTGCTTGATTCCTCAACAAAAATGGTAATGTTTGTTCACATAGTTTTGTAATGCACAGAGCATGTTTCTACCCATTGTCTTAAATGAGCCTTCTAAAACCAGCCCTGGGTGATAAGAAAACATCATTATTCCCCATTTCAGAAGAGGAGATAAATGAGTCTACAGTAGGTAAAGTGTGTTGCTCAGGATCATCAAACTAGTGATTAGCAGAGCTGGACCACAAATTCACCTGAATCTCAAATACAGAACCCCTTCACTTTCTTGCTTCTCTAGAAGGTTACCTCCTAGTGCTGAACATTTCAAAGCTCATAAATGCTCATTCAGTTCTTTTGGCATTCTGTTTCCAAAGAAAATGAATTTCATAAAATCATTACAATTTCCAAAGTTCAGTTCCTGGTGAAAAAATAATAGGTTTTGTTTTCTGATATAAGGACTATGCATAATAAGGAACACATATAAATATTTGTGCTAGCATTTTTCATTAACAAATAATAAAACCCTAGTTTGTGTTTAAATGTACCAATGCCTGTACATTAACAAGATTTTTAAAAATAAAATTGTATAAAACAAATTTAGAAAATAATAATAAAACCCTTATCTATGGAATAGTTTTTGGGTGCTTAACCAAACTGGACAAACTAAGATCACTGTTACTAAAAAAATACTTTAAGATATCTGACAAACACTGATGAACCTCAAAGGGAAGGAGGAAGGTGGGGTGGGAAGAGAAAAACCAAAGAACTTATATGCATAACCAATAGACACAGACAATACTGTGGGGAAGGCAGGAGGGGGACAGGAGTGGGGGGGGTCAAGGGGGGACATCTGTAATTTATTCAACAATAAAGATAAGTTTAAAAAGAAAAAAAAAAGAGCCTTGGACGCTTTGGCTCAGCGGTTGGAGCATCGGCCTGCAGACAAGAGAGTCCTGGGTTCAGTTCGCACTAGGGAAAAAAAAAAGATCTGACAACCTAGAAGAGAAAAATACATATAAGAACCTAAAATGCTTTATTGCTCTTAATCCCAATTTTAGATAAGATGTAACTAGGCTATAGTTCTTGAATGTTTTTTAAAAATGCAAAAGGCAGCTAGAACTCTATACCACTTACATGCATCTGACCACTGTGTTAATGGGAGAGCTACTATAAATAAGTTCTAAAAGTCAAAATAAGCAAATGATTCAAGCATGTTAGTTTGCTATCTAAATGAGTTTTCTTTTTAATTTTTTTTTTTTTTAATCCTCATCCGAGGACATTCCTCCACCCTTTGTTCAGATAGAGTGGGAGGGAGGGAGAGGGAGAAGGAGAGAGACAGAGAGAGAGAGAGAGAGAAACATTGACATGAAAGGGACACATCAAGTGGCTGCCACCCGCACGACCAACCAGGGCCAGGGACAAATTGCAACCGAGGTACGCGCCCTTAGCAGGAACCGAACCCGGGCCTCTCTGGACTGCAGGCCGACGCTCTAACTGCTGAGCCAAACCGGCCAGGGATATCTAAATGTTTTTAAGTCTAAGTTTAACTGCACAAATTTGAACTTAGTGTATATTTTTTAAATACAGTTGGCTGGTGTGGCTGAGTAGGTTAAGTGTCATGCATCAAGAGGTCATTTGTTAGATTCCTAGTCAGGGCACATGCTGGGTTGTGGGCTTGATCCCCTGTAGGGGGCATGCAGGAGGAAGCTAATGGATGCCCCTCCCCCCCAAATCAATAAAATCCCAT